ACTGTCACAATTGTAAAGGTAGAAGTTTTGTAACAAAAAAAGGGGAGTGGTTAATCTTACAGTACAGCAACAGAGGACCCTAGGACCATTAAGAGAGAAGTGCACAAGCAGAGTGCGGGACCTTATCCAGAGAAGCAGCAGCGCCAGAGATGGAGGCAGAGATGGGGGCATGGAGAGGGGGAATGGCTGAGGACTCCAGATTCATGGACTAAGAAGAGAAGGACTAAGAGCTGGTGGCCAGGAGCAGACTGGCAGAATGTGCCTTTTGGAGATGTAAATTATTATATATGCCTGAGTGGGTTTTTTTGTTTGTATGTTTTTTAAAAAGCTAAAGTGAATAGAGAGAAATACTGTTAACTGATGGTACATGGAGGGGATTATAATCAATTTAATGAAACAAGGTGTATTATTTGTTGAATGTAAAACTGATGATATGCCTTATAAACTTTCACTCAATCCACATTTCAAACCTTAAAAAAAAAAAGTATGTGAGGAGATCATATGTCTCTTAAGTAAATTGCCTGGGACCACTCAGGGAGGTGAAAGTTCCAGTGAGTGCCTTTTTCATTGTGTATTTTGAGAAGTGGAATGTATCCCTAGGTTATTTTCAGTAATGTCTGGCTCTCCAATAAGAAGGAATATCCTGGTTCAGCTTTGTATTGTGGCCTTCGAATGTACAGATATATGTTATGATTTTGATTTACATTTTTACTATCTGTGAAGCAAGAGATTCCCATAATCCTTCCTCCTGAATGGAAGACTCCCAGGAGTTTGTGAAAAATATGCAGATAGGCCATTTGGCGGCCAGGGCACCCAGTGCAAAGTTGACTGCCTGAAGTTTGGTCAGTTATGCGACCCTTGGGTCCCATTCTTTATCAGGGACATCCTGGTGGGTGACTGGAAATCTGCAACATATCACTGAGCTTCATCGCTGTGACAGGGGCATTGGCACCTGCATAGTCCAGTAACTCCACTGCTATTCATTTAATCCCAAGGATTTCCCTGGCAGTCAGTAGGCCTGGAGGTCGAGGGGCCTTCTCCAACACCAAGGGATCTGGCAAGGGCCACCTCCTCCCATAGGTGGAATGTGCCAGAGCACCCAGGTTTGGCTCTACCCTGTATCCAGGAGGTGTCAGTAGCCAGGCTGAGACTGTTGGGTACTCTTTTCAAGACTTAAGATGTAATAGACAGAAGGGTCATAGGTTCAGGTTCTGTAAAAAACCTCTGTTTCGAAGAAAGCCCACTATGTGGCACAGGGGCGAGGGTGTTAGATGTCTATGGGCAACTTATGACCAACACAGGTGGTCCAGAAACTCCAAGAGGCAGGAGAAGAGGCCGCACAGGCTCAGGGCATTGTTTGGGATGTTGACTGGCGTTTGGGTAGATTTTATAGGTTGTTATTGGAGGATCCCCATTCAAGGTGAGCTTCATTATACATAGCATCAGTGAGATTAAGTAAAAATTGTGAATGAGGATTGTGTTGCATTTAGAACTCAAAAAGGACTAAAACATGTTGGGCTTGTGTGTCCTTATGTAGTGTGTTAAACAAATCTCCGGGGAGGATATCATTGTCAAACCTGTGTTGCTGGAGAAAGGTGGATACAGTTAAAACCTTACCTGCAGGGATTGTATGTTGATGAGACTGCTGAGGGTACCCTTTGGGCAGCCTGATAAAAGTTCCTTCAGAGGTGAAAGCAAGCTGCAGATAGAGGCTGTTAGAATAGGCTTATTAGCCAAATCCAGTAACTGTTCCTGGTGTGATGGTGTAGGATAAGCACTGGACTGCTAATCATAAGCTGTTCAAACCCATGAGCCATTAATTGGAAATCCTATACAGTTGACTTTAGGATTAGCAGTTCAGTGCTCATCCTCCGCCACCATAACAGGATTAGTTACTAGTTACAGCACTAGTTGACTAGCTTACTAGGCAAGCACAAACCATTTGCACTACTCAAGGTCCTTAATATTTACACACATTTTTAAAAGAAAAATACAACTCATGGTATAATTTCAAAATTATTCCTACTTTAGGCAAAGCACAGAATGGTTGTTATTATCCTAGGGTCACACAGTAAATGGTGGAACCAGGATTGGAAATCAGAGTTCAATAACTTAATTAAGAAGTGATGAAGGCCCAAAGTAGGGGAGTGAGAATCAGTAAGTCAGTATAAAAAAATAATGACGCAGGTGACACTTCAGAAAAGAGCAAAAGACTTTGAGTGAGGTTTTCAGTCTCCTGGAGGTGGACAGAAAGATTTGGGAGGGGGAATTAAGTAGAGATGCCTGGAGGACAGCATTGTGGAGATGTACAGCATGCATTGAAAATACATACCTGGGGCTCAGTGGGAACTGTCAACATAGGGATGATAGTTGATGGGAGAGGATGAATGTGGTGGAGCATACGATGTCTAAATGATAAAAACTTATTAATTATTATCAAACACCTTAAGGCAATGAGTTGCTGGGCCTTGGGGCTCCAGACTATAGTTTCAAGAGATGCTGTGGTTAATTGGCTTACCAGTCCACAAAGACAATGTTCTACATCTTACTTTGGTGAGTAATGTCTGGGATCTTGAAAGCACATGAGAAGCTATGTAAGGTGCAGCTATTGATTGCTCCATGTACAGAGGAAAGAAGAGTGGTAACTGAGTTAATTCATCCAATGGACTAATGGATCATATGAACATCAATCTTCATGCCTCTGAGACCAGAACTAGAAGTTGCCCGACTATTACTACCAACTGCTTTGCAAGGGATCACATTAGATGGTTCCAGATAGAGTGGGATAAAATGTGGAACAAAACAAGACTGGGTTTACAGGTCAGAAGGAGACTGGAGGAACCTGAGACTGTGGCCCTCGATCACCCTTCAGGTCTATAAGGAAACTCACCCTCGTAGCCCAGTTTTCAACACAACAGTAGATAGGTGTATAGGGGAACTAGTAAGGTATGCTGTTAGGTGCCATCGAGGCGGCACCGACTCATAGCGACCTTCGGCACAGCAGAACGAAACACTGCCCGATGATCCTCCTTGGCCAACCACGCTAGAGCCCATTGATGCTGCCACTTTGCCAATCCATCTCGCTGGGGGTTTTCCTCTTTTTCTCTGACCCTTCACCTTACCAAACATGATATCCTTCTCCAGCGACTGGTCCCTCCTGACAGTATATCCGAAGTATGAGAGACAAAGTTAGGCCATCCTGGCCTCCAAGGAGCACTCTAACATCACTTCTTCCAACACAAATCTGTTGGGTTCTTTTGGCAGCCCATGCCATTTTCAATATTCTCCAACACCAACACCCCACCATGAAATGGTCAGTCATTCAAAATCAAAAGGGCAACACTTCACTGGTAAAAATACTTATTTCAAACCTAGAAATACTAATTTTAAACCTAGCAATAGGCAGAGAGAATACAATTATTAAATAATCGTTATACGATTTCCTTCTCAGCCTTTACCAAAACATTAATGAACCGTTCTGTAAGCAATTAATCATTGAGATGAATCAAAGTGTATGCTTTGTTGATTGCAAAACTGATGGTCTTGTCTGTTCACAATGGTGGTGGTTATGTGCCCTGCAGTCATAGCAACCCTGTATACAGTTTCCAAGGCTGTAAATCTTTACAGCAGAAAGCCTCATCTTTTCCCCGCAGGACCACTGGTAGTTTTGAAACTGCTGACCTTGAGATTAGCAGCCCACGCTCCTAACAGCCCACGCTCCTAACCACTACGCTACCAGAGATTCTTCAATTCACAATAAAAAATTTTTAAACCACAAAAAATACAGGTAGCGACTAGGAACCGGAAACAGGTTTGGGGAAGGCAGGGATTGGACGAATCTTGCAGCAGGGCTTCCGGAAGTTGAAGGTTTTGTTTCTGAGGGGGAGCTTTTTCGAGTCGGACCGAAGTCCGGAAGTCAGTGTCCCTTGGCTATAGTGGTCTGGGCGGGAGGCAACGCGGAGGGTGAAGGTATAGATCGCCTTCTGGGAAGCCGGAACCGTGTGTTTTGGGAACATGTGCGGCCTCAAAAAAAAGCAAATCTATTGCCGAGTTCGAGTCTGTAAATGTTTGTTGTTAAGTGCCATCGAGCCGATTCCAACTCAAAGCGACCCTGTATAGGGTTTCCAAGGAGTGGCTGGTGAGCTTGAGCCGCCAACCTTGCGGTTCAAACTGACCTTGAGGTCGACTGCTTATCCTACAGCACCACATCAGGACTCTGCCATAATAAGGACGTACAATTAATTGCTTACAGCACGGTTCATTAACGTTTTGGTAAAGGCTGAGGAGGAAATCGTATAATGCTTATTTAATAATTGTATTCTGTCTGCCAATTGCTAGGTTTGAAATGAGTATCTTTGGGTCAAGGTTGGTCCTTTCTTTACATGAAACAAAATGATTAGATTAGAAAGTTACAGGCAAAGATGAGGTGAGTTACCATATATAAAGTAGTCCAAAAATTTCCAGGTATTCTGGTTATCTGAGGAAAAATTTCCAGGTATTCTGGTTACCTAAATCGTGAGCATAACAACTTCATCTGTACTATAGAGGACCAGCCAGGGCCCTGGGTTCTTTCCCAAGTATGGTGGTAAAGAACTCTGCAGGCTTAGAAAGATAAGAATGCTAAATGTGTTTGGGGGATGGAGTTTTTTGCTTAATAGTTCTGTATACTTTTATTAGACTCTTGGTATGGTGCTGTAGGATAAATACTGGACTGCAAACCACAGGTCACCAGTTCAAACTCACCAGCTGCTCCTCTAAAACCCTGTATAGAGTCGCTCTGAGTTGGACCCAACTCGATGGCACGTGACAACAACATACTTTTATTTATCAGAATTTGCCAACATTTACTTAAATGTTAGCAAGAATATTTTGTTAGTGAAATTAGTTGTAATGTTAACTTTAAAAAAAAAAAAATTTTTTTTTTCATTGTGATTTGGGTGATATAATGTTAACTTTTCAACAAAATCCATCTGTGGTCTTTCTGGTTTTGTGCAGTAGAATCCTGCCTATCTCTGAAATGCAGTTAACACATCAGCTGGACTTATTTCCCGAATGCAGAGTGACCCTTCTCTTATTCAGAGATGTGAAAAATGCTGGTGACTTGAGGAAAAAAGCCATGGAAGGCAGTATTGATGGGTCATTAATAAATCCTACAGTGGTAAGTGCAAAGTGTGAGAATTCATGACCCAGATGGGGCATTTAATAATATGTTAATTTTACTTTATGTTACAGGTTAACCTAAAATTCTTTCCTGGTCAAGTAAAAAGATTCTTATGAACGCTGTGGAGTCAGATTTGACCAACCTTGAATTTTACATGGACAGAGCAAAAGTATCAGTCCCTGTCAAAGCAGATAGGACAGGTTGTGGTGCTGGCTCTGACATAATGACCAATGCCCAAGTTTCTGTCTTGTCATCTGTGGAATAAAAACTAGGAAAAGCTCTCTGATGGAGGCAGAGTGTACACTCTGAAGAATCATTACTAGAATATAATCCCAGCTCTGCCACTATTGTGACTCAGAGCAAGTCATATTGTTGTTAAGTGCCATCGAGTCGGTTCTCATTCAATGACCCTTTATAGGGTTTCCGAGGAGTGGCTGGTGGGTTTGAACCACTGATCTTGAGGCTAGCAGTCCAGTGCTTAGTCTACAGCTCCATACCTGAGAAAGTCATATCCAACCTTTATATATAAAGGTGTGTACAATGTTCTTGCACTGTTTTAAGTGCTTTACATATAGTCACTTGACAGTAACTCTATGAAGTAAGTACTGTTATTACCTACATCTAACAGCAGTAAGTATAAAAACAGTAAGGTACTTGCCAAAGTTCTCTAGATGGTAAATAGCAGAGTTGGAATTCAAATGTTGATGTTCTGTGCCTTGGTTTTCTCGTCTATTACTTGTATATAATATCAATTTTTTAGTTTCAAGGAGTAAAGAAAGTAATCAAAATGTTTACAATATGGATTTCCCATATTATTGTTGTTAAGTGCCATCTACTTGGTTCTGTGTCAGGAATGGCTAGTGGGTTTGAACCTATAACTTTGAGGTTACCAGTCTAGTACTTATCCTACAGCATCACACTATGACGCCTCCATAATATTATGGTTAAGTGCTGTCCAGTCAATTCTGACTCATAGCAACCTTATATAGGGTTTCCGAGGAGCACCTCGTGGGTTTGAACTGCTTACTTTGTGGCTCACAGTCCAATGCTGATCCTACAGATCCATATTGTTGTTGTGTTAAGTGTCGTCAAGTTAGTTCTGACCCATAGCAACCCTGTATAGGGTTTCTGAGTAGTGGCTGGTGTGCTTGAACCGCCGACCTTGCAGTTCAAACAGACTTTGCAGTCCAGAGCATTAACCTACAGCGCTACGTCAGGACTCCAATGCCACAATGCTGTTGTTGGTGGTGCCATCAAGTTGGTACTGACTCTTAGAGACCCTATGCACAACAGAACGAAACACTGCCCAATCCTGGGCCAACCTCATAATTGTTTCCACGCTTGAGCCCATCGATGCTGCCACTTTTATCTTGCAACTTTAAAATTCTATGATTTCCTGAATACCCAGGCCCTTGAGAGAGAGATTTTGGAAATACAGTTCATAGGCATTATGAAAAACTGAAACAGCCTGATGCTAACATTATCATGTGGTGGTGGTGGTGTGTGCCATCGAGTCAGATCCAACTCAGAGCAAACTTGTATAGGGTTCCTGAGAACTACTGACCTGTGGTTTAACTTGTAGTAGGGTGTCCATTTTCAGAGTGATCCAGATTCTCTTTATAATTGTTGTTTTGTTTTGTTTTTCTCTTTGGTAGATTGTCGATCCATTTCAGATACTTGTAGCAGCAAACAAAGCAGTTCACCTCCACAGACTGAGAAAAAAGAAGACAAGAACTTTATCTACTGAAATTATTTTCAACCTTTCCCCAAATAACAATGTAATGCAGTCTACTTACTTATTTTCTGTTGTGAAAACAGCATGTGTTTTACTCAATGTAGGATTGGAAGCTAAATTCTTATTGTTAGTAATAAGTAAAGAACGCCTGCACAAAGCGGCTAGGCTCAGCTCAACTCAGCTTAGCCTCTTACTAGAGAAAGAAGCTTTGGAGTCCTTTTACAAATAAAGAAACCAAAACTTAGCTACATTAAGTGAGGATAGTTTTGTTCTTATGACCATAGAAGGTCAGGGAGACCTCCTCATGAGTTTTTGCTTCAGAAAGTGTCAGAGTCTGAATGATAAAACATCCAGGCATAGATATTTTGTGTTATGTCCATCTCTGACTCCCCCTGTAAATTTGATGATAGAATCCATGTCGTTGCCATACACGGAAAGATTGTGTGTTACCTGCCTACCCATCCACTGCCATGGAGTCGTTTCCAACTCATAGTGACCCTATAGGACACAGGAGAACTGCTCTGTAGAGTTTCCAAGGCTGTAAGTATTTACCAAAGCAGACGGCCACTTACAGAGCAACTGTTGGATTCAAACCACAATCTTTCAGTTAACAGCCCAATGCTTAACCCGCTGCACTACTGGGCTCCTTTTCATGTTACCTAGAATAGCCTGTAACACATATTCACAGAGCTAGTGCATAGCAAAAGTAATAAAGGTTAATGAGCTAAAGACATTTGGCACTTGGCACATGGAAAGATGACTGAAATTCTGCTGAGGAGGTTACTACTAATAACAACACAACTGGGTTTTAATAGCAAGAGAAGAGTTAGGAACTTGGTGTAAAATAGGAGGCTTCAAAAGCTGGTGGAAAAAATCCTTTTTTCCATGAACTTTTTGGAGCCTCCTCATACAGAAGACTGAAAAGTTTATAAAATATACTTAGCTTGGTATAGAATTCCCAAGTTCTGGAGTGGAATTTACCAGATAATTACTCTTTGTTTGAGATGATTTAAGATCATTTAAGAAAGTATTCAACTAATGTTTGTTGAGTATGTCCCTGCCCAAGTCACAGTTTTGGAGCAGAAGAAAGAACTGTGTTCTTGAGGAGAGGCAGACTGCAAGATAGAAGTTACAGTTATTGTTAGATACTATTGAGTAAGTTCCACTCAGCAACTGTATGTACAACAGAAGAAAACACTCCCCAGTCCTACACCATCCTCACAATTGAGAAGTCACCATACACTCAGATAAATGATTTAATAAGATACTAATTCATAGGAGAAGTGGTGAGCCAGCAATTCATTCTGTAGGAAAAAGGAGGCAGTGGGGAATGACATTTGAATTGCATCTTAATGGATGAGTTCACCAGCTAAGCAAGAGGCAGTGGTGAGCACAGGCAAAGCAAAAAGTATGAAATGTGAGGGGATCCCCTAACAGTCTGTTCTGTCTATAGACAGTAGGAGTGCATGGCTAGAGGGTTCCCTTGGAGTCAGGGAAAGGCATGTTTTGAGTGCTACACCAAAAAGTCTGCTGGATTTTGTAATGAAGCACAGCTGTCAAGCAGGAAATACTTCAAGGAGAGAAATAAATAGTAGGTGTTGGAAATGGATTGTTGTTAAGTGCTGTCGAGTTGGTTCCGATTCCTAGCAACCCTGTATAGGGTTTCCGAGGAGCAGCTGGTTAAGTTTGAACTGCTGACCTTGGGTTATTGAAGAGCAAACCTGTAGACTTAGAGCAGCGTTAGCTGTGAAATACAGAACCTGACCAGGGTAGAGACATAGGACTGAAAAGAGGGCAGATGGGAAAGATGTTTCAGATAGAGGAAATACTGAGGTGCTTTCTGTTGATGCTTTGTTTTTTTCCTTAGATTTCAGAGGCTTTGAAGAAATTTGGTATTTCAGCAAATGACACTTCAATTCTGATTGTTTACATAGAAGAAGGAGAAAAACAAATAAATCAAGAGCACCTGATATCCCAAGTAGAAGGCCACCAGGTTTCTCTGGAAACTCTTCCTGAATTAACCAATATTACAGAAGTCAAAAAGGTTGGTAGATCATTACCTTTAGGAAGAGTGTGATAGATGAGAAATAATGTTGACTCTGTCTGCTTATTGATCACCAAGCCTCCTGTTTTTCTAACTTTTAAAAAACATTACTTGAAAAATAATTGGAGCTACAAAGAACTGGAAGGTGCAGGTTTATATAAAATACAACTAGGACACTAGTTTACAAATGCATTCTTCACTTTAAGAATAAGTGGGTGACTTCATATACCAGGCTTCCATGTTGTTGTTGTTAAGTGCCATCAAGCTGATCCCTGCATAGGGTTTCTGAGGCTGTAAA